GAGCGGGCCGGTGTGCGCGCGCGGCGGGGACGCGCAGACGGCGCCCGGAGCTCCGGACCCTGAGCCTGCGTCCTCTCGCGCAGGGAGGCGGTGGCCGCCGTGGCGATGCCGGCGACAGCGGTGCCTGCTGCCCCCCGAGGACAGTCCCCTGTGGCAGTACCTGCTGAGCCGCTCCGTGCGGGAGCACCCGGCGCTGCGCAGTCTGCGGCTGGTCAGCGGGGCAGGGCGGGCGGCCCCACGTGGCCGGGTGACCTTGGCCGCGCGGTGGCCTCCTCCGGGGTTCCGCGTCGGCCCCCGCCCGCGCCGGGACCTCCCCTGAGGGCCACACCCACCGCCGCGCCCCCGGGGCCCGGGATCCCCTGTCCGGGTGGGTGACTCGGGATGGTGGCCCTGTCCCCCACAGCTGACCCTGGAGCAGCCGCAGGGGGACTCCATGCTGACCTGTGAGCAGGCGCAGCTGCTGGCCAACCTGGCGCGGCTCGTCAAGGCCCAGAAGGCGCTGGACCTGGGTAGGCGCACGGCGGGGACCCCCGGGGCCGGGGACCCGAGGTCCCAGCGCTGAGCTGTGCACGCCCCGGTCCCCAGGCACCTTCACGGGCTACTGCGCCCTGGCGCTCGCGCTGGCGCTGCCCCCCGCCGGGCGCGTGGTGACCTGCGAGGTGGACGCGGGGCCCCCGGCGCTGGGGCGGCCCCTGTGGCAACAGGTGAGCGTCGCGCACCCTTGGGTGGCGTCGGCCCGGGCGAGGGGCCGGCGCTGACCTCGCTCCTCCGCAGGCCGAAGCCGAGCCCAAGATCGACCTGCGGCTGCGGCCCGCGCTGGAGACCCTGGGTGAGCGCGGGACACTGCCAGCTCCCACCGCCACCTGTCGGTGTGCGGCCACGTGCGAGCGCACCTGTCCCTCTCCCCACCAGACGGGCTCCTGGCGGCGGGCGAGGCCGGCACCTTCGACGTGGCGGTGGTGGACGCGGACAAGGAGAACTGCGCCGCCTACTACGAGCGGTGTCTGCAGCTGCTGCGGCCCGGAGGCGTCCTCGCCATCCCCCGAGTAAGGGCCCGCGGGGCACGGGACGGGGCTGGGTCCCGGTGCCTCCCATGTCCCGCTGCGTGCGCAGGGCACTAGGGTACCTCCCTTCGCCGGGTTCCACCTGGAGACCACGCCTCAGCGCTCGCCCCGCCTCCTGCCCTGGCCACGCCCCTCGGCCGGCTGGCTCCGCCCTGTGACGGCCCTCCCCCGCAGGTCCTGTGGCAGGGAAAGGTGCTGCAGCCGCAGAAAGGCAACAAGGAGGCCGAGAGTGTGCGAAGTCTGAACGAGCGCATCCGGAGAGACGCCAGGGTCCACATCAGCCTCCTGCCCCTCGGCGATGGCCTCACCTTGGCCTTCAAAATCTAGGGCTCAATAAAATGAGACTGGGGCCCACGACCTCCAGAGCCTCCTCCCTGGTGTCCCTGGTGCTGAGTCGGGGGTGGGCGTCGGAGTTACCGCCATTCAGCCCTCCCTGGCACTGAAGCCGTGACGGTACCCTGGGTACGATGTGGTTTGCACCTGGCTTCACAGGGGCGAGGCTTTGCAAAGCCAGCACGCACACGTGCACCACGCACGCGCCCTTGACCTCCCCGGCCTCCCTCCGAAATGAAGTTCCAGGGTCAGTGCAACAGGCTGAGCGGGCAGGGGGGACCCACGGGGGCCAGGGCGGTCACATAGTTTTGGAAGTCTTCGGTTTTCCCAGAACTGTAGGCTCCCCGGCCCACCCCTGCGTTATACGCCAGGCAGCACCACCTCGAAAACCAGGCCCTGGGACTTGTATACACTGCTGCCCCCTAAGTCTGAAGTTAGGGGCCAGTTGCCCAGACAGGTGTGAAGCACAGGCTGCAGGTAGCACCTGCTAGAGGACAGGCACCCCCTTTAGAGGGATGGTGGACCGGGACCCAGGCGGCTCTATTGAGCGCCTTCAAGCCTAGAGCTCAGCCTCTGGGTCCAAAGCTCCGGCCCCACTGGAAGATCTGGCTCCCGACAGAGGCTGGGCTCTCCTGGGGCAGCGCGGCATGCGCACGGACTTCACTAGGCTTTGCGGCCAGCCGAGGCTCGGGTGTCGGAGGTGCATCTTCGGGCTGCTGGATCTGAGCAGCAGGAACCTTCCTGCCTGACGTTTCCCACGACCCCTATCTCCTGACGCACGACACTAAGCGACTGGGGCCAGGGCACTTTAAGCCGAGCCTCTCACTCACCTGGGCACTGCAGACCAGGGCCAGGTAAGTCCCGCTGCGGAACAAGCACACTGGCCAAGAGCCAGGGATCCAGAGTCGCCCCAAGTAAACGTGGTTCCCCCAGCTTGCAGGCCCGTTTTCTGCTTAGCACTAGGTCCAGGCTCAGCTGCAGCCTACTGCCCAATCTCCACGGGGTGTCTGGGAGAGCCTGCTGGAGAAGCCAGCTTCAGGGTCCATGGCCTGCTCCAGCCAATCCCTCAGGAAAAACAGACCAGAAGGGGCCTTTGCCGCCCAGTGGCCATGCAGAAACCCTGCCTGGGCCTGACCCTCATCCGGTTCTTCTCAGCCCAAGTTGGTAGTATGTACAATTTCCTGAGGGGCAAGTTCTAAAGTATTCCATCTTGTTACCTTTTTCTCCATCATCCAAGTGAACCGGTGTTACGAACACGTTCACCAACTCCTTCTCCAACCTTCCCTTTTATCCCCGACTCCCTCCTCCCATCAGAACTCTCCCTCTTTCCTACTTTTCCAGCCAAAATCACACATCCATGTTAACCACTCACACCCAGACAGAAGTCCAGATGAAGGGCCAGGGGCTGCCTGGGCTCACTGCCCAGCCCAACTCTTCTGGCAGCATCTGCCTGGAAGGAAATGAGTCACGACTTCTCATGAGGGCCTACCCAAGAGCAGACCAAACAGTGTGCATTTAAAAGTTAAAAATGCATTACAGAGGCAGGCATGGGGTCGCACACCTATACTCCCAGCACTCAGGAGGCTGAGGCAGGAGGATTGAAAGTCTGAGGCCAGCCTGGGCTACACAGCAAGACCCTGCCTCAAAAAACAAACAAAATCAAGTATTATAGCCGGGCGTGGTGGCACACTCCTGTAATCCCAGCACTTGGGATGCTGAGGCAGGAGGATCGTTGCAAGTTCGAGACCATCCTGGGCTACACAGTGAGCTCAAGGCCAGCCTGAACTGCATAGTGAAACCCTGTCTCAAAAAAGACCAAAAAAACAAAAACAAGTATTATAGTAAAAAAAAAAAAAAAAAAATGCCATTAATCCTCTTCAAAATACTCTCTCGCTTCAAACACTTATCCCATCATTCTTGCCACTTTCTGAAGCAGTTCTGCAAGTCTTGTGTCTTCAAGACACATGATCAAGAACATCACAGTGAGTACCACCCTGCTGAGTGTCACCCAAAGGACAGGCAGCTCATAAACACACCTGGGGCACCCTCATCCACCTCATTCACCCATCTGGCCATGAAAGGGAAACACTTTGAACATGAAGGACAACCACAGCTGATGACACGCATGAAAGAGGACTTCCAGAACTGCTTCAGAAAGCGGCAAGAACAACGGGGTGTGTTTGAAGCAAAGGGGAGTGCTTTGAGGGGCAATGAGTAGTAAAATTTTTCAACACTGCACTTAATCACACTTCATACACCACCAACAACCCCGGCCTCTGTGGTACAAGCAGAGTCTAGACCAGCGACAGCAAACCTTTTAGAGCTTTCATGGGTAACAGCTGGCTTCAGCACGTGAGCCACAGGCTCACCACCACCACTGGTCTACCTTACTCTCCTTCCCGTCCCATTACAAGGTTTAGTGCACTTTCTGGAGTAATAGCTCATCCGAGTCTGACACAGCACAGACCCTTTCAGCACCATCCCTCCCTCCAAACGTGCCTGAGGTCAGCAAAGCCCCAGCGTAACTGCACACAAGCTCTGGAGGGTGTGTATCCTCTTACTCTGAGCTCAGAATGCTCACGGATCTATTCACAGGGGAGTTAGTGACACAGATTCAGGTAAAGAGCAAAATGCTCACTAGAAAAAGTGTCTTGGTATTAGGAAGAGTTCACACTAGCTGGAATTTCTTTACCTCTACAAGTACTTGGAGCCATTAATTATGTACACTTGCTTTATTCATTTGTGATATCCTCAGATACCAAGAGTAGATCTGATGATGGCTGAATGTAACAAAAAATGTTTACCCCAACTTCACTTTCATGTCATTCAATGGCCAATATTCAAATGTTAAAACGAACATAAAAACAGACATGCACACAACTGCACAGCTTTCATAAAGGTCTATTTCATTATTGGTGGTAGCGCTTTTAACAGTTAAATACATTTAAATAATGTATAGGTGACTGCACGACTGCAGCATTGGTAACTAGATAACCAATTCAACTAGAAACCAACTAACAAGGTAACTGTCTAAATATTTAAAATACAGCTCTTCTTTAGATCATCCTTTGTTTGATCACCTTCTTGGGGGGAAATAAAAGCCTGCTGGTCAAAATGGAAATATATTAAGGCCAAATCTGATATCCATTGCCAGAGGTTTCTTTCAGCTGGGTTAAGCCTCCAATTCGAGGGCAAGCCCAAGCTTGTGGCCTCCAGCATTAATGCTCTTCCCATCTACCAGGGCAGATAGTGTAAGCTTCACACCTGTAAACAAAGCAAACCACCATGACCGGCCTGAAGTACTTTCCCCTCCCGAGCTCCCGAACAGCCACCCAGAGCCTGCCAGTTGAGTTACCAGTGTGAGCCACCAGAGGGCGCGCCGAAGTAGCAAGATACTAAGAATTCCGTTTTAAAGGTACCAAGTCAGAGAGAATAAAAATGTAATTTCAGCAGAGCGTGGTGGCACACGCCTGTAATCCCAGTACTTAGGAGGCTGAGGCAGGAGGATCATCACGAGTTCAAGACCAGCCATAGTGAGCTCAAGGCCAGCCTGAACTGCATAGCGAGACCCTGACTCAAAAAAGACCAAAAAAACTGTAATTTCAAAGTGTTCTAGAAAATGTTTATGCCTGGTGTGGTGGCGCACACCTGTAATCCCAGCACTTGGGAGGCTGAGGCAGGAGGATCGCCAGAAGTTCGAGGCCAGCCAGAGCTAAAAAGTGAACTCAAGCCCAGCCTGAACTGCAGAGTGAGACTCTGTCTCAAAAGAAAAAAAAAAAAAAGAAAGAAAGAAAGAAAAGAAAATGTTTACACTGTTCAGGCTGAAAGATAACAGAGAAATCAAGTAATAGCTGGACCCTAGAAAGGAAAAACAACAATAAAAAGACATTCCCCTACAAGTATTAAAACCTGAATACCTACTAGGAAAACTGATGTTAATTGTCTTAGGTGTGGAAATGGTATTGCAGTTAGGAAGAAAAACTCTTAAACTGAGGCTATAAACGCTAGGACAAGTCCGTCTACATGTCTGCAAAACATCTGTTAAAAGTCCATGTGAAAAAAAGGGTGTGTAATGCACAGAGAAACTGGTAAATCACAGATATTCGCTGTATTTCTTCAGACTTCTCTTTAGATTTCAAAATAGTCAAAATAAAATTTGGGGGAAAATACCTGCTAGAAGGGGAATGCTCCTAGTACTTTATAACCTTGCTAGTAAAATGGTTTAAGAATTAGAGAAAGACAGAGACAGAGAGAGACAGAAGAAAGAACCAGAGACCTCGGGAGCTCATCAGAAGTACAGAGCTCCACACCCCAGATCAGGGTCTGCACTGAAACACTCTGCAGGTCACCTGACGTTCAAGTCTGAGAAGAAACACAGCAAGAAACAAATATTATGTGAAGTAAACAAGACCACGGAAGTCTGAAGAAACAAACTTCTGCAAGTGAGTTCTTCTACACTCTAGATGCAAGTGAGAAAACAGTGCAGAATGGTCACTGCTAACTTTCTCACATGGAACAGAACATTCTTATTCAGAGGCAGATCCAGGCAGTGTCAAGATAAATCAGACTTTCCAATGGTTCAGGGAGGGTGGAAGAAAGGGAAAAAAATAATCGACTTCCATATACTTAAAGGAAGCTGAGAAGTGAAAAATTAATTTTTAAATTAATGTTAAGACAATCCCACTGCTGGGAGAGGTGGCACACACCTATAATCTCAGCACTTGAAAGGCTGAAGTGGGCTACAAAGTGAGTTCAAGGCCAGCCTCAACGGCATAGTGAAACATTGTGTCAAAAAGACAAAAAAAAAAAAAAAAAAGACAACTCACTGTATGAATACTTACCAGGCCTCAGAGTTTGAGTGTAACCCACTCCAATTAAACTAGAGTTGTTGACCTTTGCCTGAAATAAAATTCAGAAACAACCATAAGAAAATTTTTTGAATGGAAAGACAAAGTTCCAACACATTTCCCTATCATTCGATTGCAAAGAGTTCAATGTTTTAATCTATACATGAGATGATACAATTTACTATTGGGTACTAGGCCAAAGAAATCCAGGTGCCACACACTTAATTCTTCTCCATGAAATTAGTATCAATTTGTGAGGAGGGCTGTGCACCATGGGACACACTTATAATCCTAACTATTCAGGAAGCTAAGGAAGTATCAAGTTCCAGGCCAGCCTGGGCAACTTTGCAAGACCCTGACTCAAAATAAAAAAATAAAAAGGAATCGGGGATGTAGCTCGGAGGTAGAACACCCCAAAGTTCAACCCCCAGCAAAGGAAGAAAACGTAATTTGTTGGAGAGCCTAAGAATACATCCACAGACCCAGACCGTCCACAGAGAACAAGAGCCCAACCACGCTCATGGAAACCACCTTGCTCAGTCCAATCTAACCACAAAGGAGGCCAAAATGGGGCTGTGAAGTCCACCAGGCTCACCAGCGGTGACCCACAGCAGCTCTCAACTGAAGAAGGTTAAGTTTAAATTCATGATGTGAATCCACAGGGCGCTCCCTTTTAAAAATCAGATCAAATAATCCATTACTGCACATTCTCATGCCTGTCACCAAGCTGCTGAGTTCTGATGGAACCGTCCACGCCTGACAGGAGCTTCCTTCCTTCCCTTGGGGCATCCTTTCCCATCAAGGCTGCGGGCTTCCTCGCTCAGTCTTAACGTTTTAGGACTCAGTCACAGACCCTCACGGGCTAGCAGCACCCTGAGAGCAAGACATGGTAAGGAGCTGCTTATAGCTCCACTCTCCACCACCACGGGCGCCAAGCCCACCAGAGGACGCAGCTATAAGCAGGAGACCTTCATCTCCGGGACCTAATGCCTGGTCAGGCAGCTGCTCTTCAGCATGCTGGAGTAGGAATAACAGGGACAGCCCTGAGCAAACCGGGTTTGGAATGACTTCATGAGTGCATTCTTGTGATGTGTAACATCTACACCACACACAAGCCAGAGAAGTAAACTAATGTAACCATACAGGCAAAAGCCACACACGCGTTATTTATGGTCACTAAGGCCACAATCATCACGACCACTGAGCCACCAACGCTCATGTGAGTTATTATCTAAAGAAGAAACACCCCCACTAATGACCATCTGCTGCCCAGCCAATTAAGAGCCTCAGTGAGCTGGACACAAGCTCCTATTCTCTAACAGGAGCCAGCCATGCAACTGTGACAGGAGCAGTAAGCACTGCTTCCGGGCTGCTGCACTGGGAGACAGCAGCTCTACAGGGGAAACGCCAGATCCGTTTCCAAACACATCCCTGCAGCCACACGAGGACACACAGTCTCAAGCTACTTTCCATTTGAACTACCAGCCGCTCGTAGCTGACCAGAGCTTCTGCTGGCTGGTATTAAACCTGTGACGGGCGGGAAGAAGAGAATGGGAAATAAAGGATCAAATGTGATATGCATATGTACCAACCCTCCAAATGAATGTATTCATTATATATTGCAAACCAACACTAAAAAGAGAAAAAAAGGTTAAAAAAGCTCTGATGGTGCCACAGACCCACACCTGAGGAGAACGGCAATGTAACAGAGCAGTGTGCTGCGTGAACCGTGAGGCTCTGACTGCTACGGTGCTGTAGTAGAGAAATAAAGCACTGCCTCGCCAATGAGAAGAAAAGCGTTCTGGCTGCTTCTTGTTCCCTCTGATAACTTGCTAAGGTAAAACAAGAACGGGGTTAACACTTAACTGCCTAAATTATCAAAGCATACTGCCCTCAGGGATGAAGAACACTTTATGTAACAGACATAACTCACGGATGGTTTCACTTTCTTTCACTCCCAGTACACACAGTACGGACAGTCCCTGACCTGTAAGCAAATGACGCGGACGAACAGCTGCTGATCCGCCTGAAACTGAAGCCAGCCCCTCTGCACTCCCTCTGCCTCGCTGGCCCCTCCCCTACCTCGCTCTGTCCACAACGTCTGAAGGGACACAAAGAAGAGTCTACGGATGAGACTAGGATGGCCAGCTACCCTACTGTGCCCTTTGCAGGGAAAGGAGGTATCGTTGGGACATAAGGTTCTAGGGAACAGTCCTGGGCATGTATGTCTCATATCCTACACAACACTGATATAAAAGGCATGGAGTCCAGCCCTGGCTCTACTCCATGCCCACCCCTGCCAGCAGTAGTGCTTTTCTTTGCCAAGCCTCAGTTTTTTCACCTGAAGGTATTTTATAAACCATAAAAACACAAAGTCAAAGTAATAATTAAACTACAAATAACAAATCAGAACCACCCAGGGCCTAAAACACCAGCTATCCAGGCATGGCAAGGCTTGGGTCTAAGGGCCCTAATAAATACTAGTTCAACAGCTTTTAAGGTTAAATAAACTTCTGTGGCCTGGCCTGAAAAAAAATCAAATTTCTAAAATTGTCAACACAGGCCAGGCATGGTAGAGCACACCTGTAATCCCAGCACTTGGGAGCTGAGGCAGGAGGATTGTTGGGAATTCGAGGCCAGCCTGGGCTACAAAGTGAACTCAAGGCCAGCCTGAATTGCACAGCAAGACCCTGTCTCAAAAAGACACACACACACACACACACACACACACACACACACACACAAAAAAGGGCTGTGGATGTAGCTCAATGTGAATGCCTGGGTTCAATCCCTAGTACCACCAAAAAAAAAATAAAATTGTCAACATAGGAAAAGCAGCATTCCCAATGCTAAACTCATCTGGAAATTAAGAAATATGTGAATCACAGTTCAAATTTTCAACACAGCTCAATACACCCAAATCCAAAATGGACTTCCACAACCAAAATCCCACCCTAAGCCCCTGAAGTACTCACAGAAATGGAAGCGGTGGGGTCCAACTGATACTTAGCTGCAATGCCAAAGCGAGTGCTGTTGGTACCTGATGTCCAGGCAAGGTTTACTGAAGTGTCGAGATCTTCACATACTTTCTGATATATTGATCCTCCAAATTCTGTCCCATCGTTGCTGCAAGATACCTTACATCAGTAAATCTAGCACAGAAAATGTTGTCATTTCTAAGGCACAACATCTGCCAGCACCGGGGAGGCAGCTCAGTAGAGCATTTGCCCAGCATGGCAAGGCCCTGGATTCTACCCCACCACAGAAGGGGGTGGAAATCCATCGTCCACAGTGGTCTACAGCATTCTACTGAAATCTCAAAAGTTGTGAAAGGTGTATTCCTTCCCAACTCCAACACGCAGATTGGTAAAAACTCACCACAGTACATTCATCCAGTGAAAAAGTTACCACCTGCTGTGAACAATCCTGTCGTAAAAGGCACAATGCTATGGGAAAATTATCAAGGCACACTAAATAAGGGGAAAGGGCTTAAAAACTCCTTTGGGGCACTGAGCATGGTGGCTCACGCCTATACTCCTAGCCCTCAGGACTGAGGCAGGAGGAGTGCCACAAGTTCAAGGCCAGCCTGGCCTAGACCCTATCTCAAAGAAAGACCCTATCTCAAAGAAAAAAACAAGAATTTAATTTCAGTTAGGCAATCCTATTAAATCAGTACCCCACACATCATAGGTAATAAAGCCAAATACATTGGCAGCAGTCTACCAATGTCTAGTGCATCTTCTAAAAATATACAGCTTGTCAAGCCTGACACAAAACAAACATTTACTCTCAGTACCCAGTGAGACTAACATTTTTACTATATGCTACTAACATTTTTTACTATATACTTCTGAAAGGCACCACAGATAGAACCATGGATTTTATTTTTTGATGTTAAGAGAAATCTTAAACCAGTTAGGTTGAAACTGGATTAGTAAGAGTCAACAGGAGACAACATCAAAGACCATCCTCTGAGGGCCCACTCACCGTACCTTACAGAAGAAATACTTACACATTAGTGTGTAGCTGGAAGTCCCCAGTCCTGTAGCCCACTGCAAAGTTATTCCTTGTGAGCTTTGATTTGGCACTGTCAAAGGTCATCTGGTACCCAGCGAGCCAGCCCTCATAACCAAAGACTGCAGATCCATGGATTGCAGGCCCAGCAAAATCAAAGTCAACATCACAACCAAGGTTTATACACTCCCTCTTATAAGAGGACTTGATTTTACCACTTTTCTTTCTGCAAAGAGAACAAAATGACTTAAAACTGATGCCAGTGGGAAACGTGTACAGGAACAACTTCTGCATATATGGCACAAAACAGATTATGGGGAAGTAAATGGAGCAACACAATCACAGGGTTAAAAAACAGCTCCATGAGGGCTGAGTATAGAGCTCAGGGGTACAGCACCTGCCTGGCAAGCACAAGATCCTGAGTTCAGTTCCCAGCACACACAAAAAAACCAAAAACCAGCTCAATGAATAAAGACAAAGGCACACAGGATAACTGGTAACAAGCACTGTCGTGGGAAGACTGCTCTGCAGAACTGACATCAGTCATGAAAGCCTCTTAGAAACAAGTTCATTATCCAAGTTAGCGCCACAATGCAAAGTGATGAATATCTGAAAGCAAGCCAACGATAGCAAAAGTGGTGCTCCAAAAGCAGAAACAGAAGTTAGCCACTACAAGGCAGTTTAGCAAACCGTCAAACAATAAATATGTGCCCTTCCTGAGTAGACAAGAGGAATGCTTTTAAACTTAGTAGAGACACATGCAGAAGATTGGGTCTAAAACTGTATCTCTCACTACGTACCTAAATAAAATCAAAATTGATCAAAGATCTAAATGCCAGAACAGAAACGCTACCTGGACATGGTGGCACATGCCAATAATATCAACACTAGGGAGGCCGAGGCAGGAGGATCACCACAAGTTCAAGGCAGCCTGGGCTACACAGTGAGTTCAAGGCCAGCCCGGACTATATAGTGAGACCCTGTCTCAAAACAACTCAAAGAACAAACCAATCTGCTGGAAGACAAAATAGGTAAAATTCTTAAAGACAGGCATAGGCAAGGATTTTGTGAATAAAACCCCAACAGCATAAGAAATTGCATGAAGAATCAACAAGTGGGGTCATATCAAATCAAACAGCTTCTGTATGGGGTATCCAGACCCCCCACCCTCTCTCTGGGGCAGCTTATTTTAGTCTTCTGTTTTTTCCTTACAAATAATTCATCTTCCTTAAAAAAAAAAAAGCAACAGCAGCTTCTGCAAAGTAAACAAGCAACCAAGTGAAGAGACAACCGATAGCCTATAGTACACAAATAATTTTGCTCGATATTCCTTTGATAGAAGATGCTATACCTAGTATAAAGAACGCAAAAAAGTAGATCCCCCAGAACAGAAGGCCCAGTCAATAAATGGGTATCTGAAGTGAACAGACATCGCTCAGAAGTACAAAGGGCCAATAAATACATGAAAAATGTTCAACACCTGTGGCCACTGGAAGAACGCAAATGAAAACAACACTGAGATTCTATCTTACCCCCACAAAGAATGCTATGATCAAGAAATGATGGATACACCTTGAGACCATAATGTTAAGTGAAATAAACCAGATATACAGCTTAAATATTGCATGGTTTTTCTTACATAAAAAAATCCTGTAGGGGCAGGAGATTTAGCTCAGCAAGCTTGGCAAGCGCGAGGTCGTGAGTTCAATTCCCGGTACCCGAGAAAAACAAAAACACAAGAAAATCCTGTAATCCCAGCACTTGGGGAGGCTGAGGCAGGAGGACTGCCATGAGTTTGAGGCCAGACTACGCTACATAGAGAGTTCAAAGCCAGTACAAATTACAGAGACCCTGTCCCCACCCCGCAAAAAACCCAAAATATAAATAAAAGGTAATAGAAAACAGGGAGATCGAGGCCAGACATGGTGGCGCACGCCTGTAATTCCAGCACTCAGGAGGCTGAGGCAGGAGGATCATCGAGAGTTCGAGGCCAGCCTGGGCTACAAAGTGAGCTCGGGGCCAGCCTGAACTGCAATGGCAAGACCCTGTCTCAAAAAGACAAAATAAAAAAGAAGGAAAATAAAATAAAATAGGGAGATCGATCTTTTGTAAAAGGAAAGGGGAACTAAGAGATTGGAGTGAGGGTAGGGAAAGAGGAGGGGAAGGGGATGAAAAAAGAATGAAGATGTGCTACGTATATATACCAACTCTCCACAATGAAAGTAAACATTATGTGCTGCACACATGCACTGATAAAAGTAAAAATTTAATTTGAAAAATTTAAAAATAAACTCAATGCAGGTAAGTTATGTCCATGCTTACCCTGTGTTTGGTGAGAAGGTAGTATCAAATGTCAGTTTCAAACCTTGACAAATCTATTTTAGAAGGAAAAAAAATTTATATTTAGCTTGATCTCCCTTCTAAAATACAAAACTAAAATTAATACTGAAGCATTCTGCAAATGTTACCTGATCTTCAATTGCGATCTCTGTTCCCAGAGTGTTATCAGTGTTCCACTTCTCTGTGAAAGTCAGGCCATACTCACACCATTTATATTTGGTCTCCAAGGTCCCGGTAACTTTACCAGTGTCTGTGTTAGATGAACCAGATGTTGAGAATTCCTAACAAGACAATAAATAGTCATGAACCTTCTCATAAGGCTGGAAAGAGCTATTGCCTGACTTACATAGTACTAGAAACTCTCAACTGAGCTATTCCCTAAGCATGCACAAAAGTGACAAATTAGCCTTTAAGTGACTGCTACCTTATTTATAGCTGACATTCCCAACCAATCCATCACAGGTTAACCTATAGCCAATTCTCAAGTGAACAAATTGTACACCTTTTAAGGAAACTTCGGCTAAGGTAATTTTACTTGAAAATCAGAAATTCATGGGGGAAAACGACTGCTTGGCACCGCCTTCAGTCTGCACGGCACTGAATAAAACAGAGTAAAGCAACTGAAATCTTCCAAGATAAAATATTTAATGCCCTCTGAGAGTTCTCACTCAATTTTTCTACCATTTCTATTCTACTCCAGCAACTGAAAAAGCAAGTCTAAAGATGACTGATTTGAGATAAAAAAAAATTTTTGACCAGAAATTTTGCTACCTAAGAGTGAGGAAATATCAAATATTATCAACAGGAAAAGGCCATCATTCACTTAGAAAATACAACATTTGTGTAACCATTGCTCTGCGATTAAATAGACCCAAATCCTTAGGTCAGAGATGCAGTCTACTCATAGCAGTACTGAAATTTTCATTAACAGGAATTTCAAGTCAGAGCTTGATGCTCAATCCCCTAATAAAACACACTGGGTTGAGTTAAAAAGTAACACTTGACCTGGGTGTCCTGACACATGCCTATAATCCCACTTCTCAGGAGGCTGAGGCAGAAGGACTAACATGAGTTTGAGGCCAGCCTGAACTACACAGCAAAGACTCTGTCTCAAAAACAAAATCATATATGTAATATATTCAAAATCAGTCATAGTAGTTAGCTCTGGGCATCACTTACTGTAGGAGTAACAACACTGAGAAGCACACTTATATGGAGCCTTGTCTCACGTGCATTAACAGTCTACCTCTGGAACACTAACCAAACTGACACAGAACGCTTTACACACTTTCAAGTTCTCTACATGAACGGAAAGTATTGTTCATACCGTACATATAAAGCATGTTCTTCCAACAGACAGTTTGGATAGGGAATATGTATGATGAGGGGCAATTTTTAATCCTGAATGACAATGATTAATGACTTTAGAGGCCTCACCCACTGCCACCCATCAGCCCAGAGATCAAAAGCTAGCTTACAGACACAAAGGATCAGAACAAAGTCAACATCACCCTGTGGGACCGGAAATGGACCAACTATCACCAGTGGTGGCATTTACCCCCTTCATTTCATTGCTATACATTCTGGTCTCTATCTTTTGGGGTAGCTTAAGCATCTCTGTAATTCAAATGATAAAAAGTCTGGCCTTGCTGGACAGAGCAAGTAATCCCAGAACTCATGAGGCTGAGACAGGAGGATCACTGTGAGCTCAAGGCCACCCTGGGCTACATAGTGAGTTCAAAACCAGCCTGAACTGGGCATGGTGGCACACACCTGTAATCTCAGCACTTGGGAAGCTGAGGCAGGAGGATCAATGCAAGTTCGAGTTCGAAGTCAAACTGGGCTACAAAGTGAGTTCAAGAATAGCCTGAACTGCATAGTGAGACCCCACTTCAAAAAAGACAAAAAAAAAAAAAAAGCCTAAACTACATACCCAGACCCTGTGTCAAAGAGAAAGGAAGAAAGGAAAGGGGAAAAGAGGAAGGGAATAGGGGAGAGGAAAGTGAAGGAGGGAGGGAGAGATAAAGAGAGGAAAGAAAGAACTATGATAGGATTAAATGCAATAAATTCCAGTTGTATGCAATGTAACAAGAATTCATCAAAATAACCAATATTCTAATATATATGTAAACACTACAGCTATTCTCAAGACAAAAAATCAAGAGTAAGAAAAAAAGATCATGAAATTAAATTGTACTATACCCACTGTATAAGAGTTTGTTAAGAACTGACACCCGAATACCGAAACATTAATGTATCTTTAAGTTTTTCAAACCAGAAGTCCATATACCACAAATGTATACTGAAATGTCCACCACAGATGGCCACTACATAAATGCTTAGTGGGCCCTCTACATCAGTAAGCTGCCGAGTACTTTTATGCCCAGAAATATGATAGGCATAAAGAGAAAGGATGACAGGGGCTGGGGATTTAACTCAGCGGCACAGCGCCTGCCTGGCAAGCGCAAGGTCGTGAGTTCCATTCCTGGTACCAGAAAAAAAAAAAAAGAGAGAGAGAAAGGATGACAAAAAGTGTAACATTCCCAGTCTTCACACTTAAAATCGACCTGAGTAAACAGTCCCAGGTGACCAGTATCTTCCCCATGTCCCTTGTACAGAGTAATATAGCAAAAGGCCACAAGAAACCAGAACTCAGAACCAAAGCCAAAACAAATTAGGTCACATGTAAATCATTCAGAAAATTACTGCTGCTTCTTCAAAGTAAGGCAGGTAAGCATGTTTCAGTTACGACTTCTGTGGGCTAAAATTGACAGATTCATCAGCTAACTTACCACACCACTGCATGACTTCGTTTTCACATCGAGTTTCACCAACCCAAAGCCTTCAAAGAGTAAAGAGCGAAAGATAAAATGAATCTTTTGTACAAAAGATGCTTATCTGTTACTGACAATATACTTAAAAAGATTCTACATACTCCACATATCCAGGGGAATAAAAATGTACTCATATACAACATTTAAGTGAAATTTTTAGCTGGGTGTGGTAGCACACACCAGTAATCCCAGCACTCAGGAGGCTGAGGCAGGAGAACTGCCGCAAGTTCAAGGCCAGCATAGGCTACATAAGGAATTTAAAGCTAGCCTGACCTACTTAGCAAGACTGTCTCAAAAAATAAATTAGGGGCTGGGATTTAGCTCAGCGCCTGCCTGGCAAGTGCAAGGTCTTGAGTTCAATTCCTGGTACCAGAAAAAAAAAAAAAAAATTTAATTAATTTTACATTACTTAGTACAGAACAAAATATCTCTATGTTGCTTAACCCAGTGTTGGTACATAGCTGACCCCTCCCAAAATGCTTTCAAACCATTTTTAACCTTAAATATCAGATTAGAAAACCGTATGACTGCCAGGCGTGGTGGCACATGCCTATAATCCCAGCACTTAGGAGGCTAAGGCAGGAGGATCATTTGAGTTCGAGACCAGCCTGCACTTCAAAGTGAGCTCAAGGCCAGCCTGAACTGCATAAATGAGATCCTGTCTCAAAACACACACACAAAAAAAACCCATATGACTGAAATCTCAGCCAGCACCAACCGTTTATCATAACAAAGACATCTGGGACATTTATACAAAAAGGGTACCTCCAATAACATAAAAGGAGAGGATCTGCAGGATAAGATCTTCAAAAACAAAATTAAACTGAAAAATGCTGTTAACTCTTTCAAGGGTGTTAGGAATTGTACAACAGAAGCAGAACAGTAACACACCCTAACTCTAGTCACCCAAGGCCTCAACTATAACTGAAGAAAATGAAAGCACAAGTTGCTTTCTCTCAACAGTTAAACTACAGTTTGAAACTCTAGTAGACTGTAACAGTTAACAGAAGTTTAATCTAAAATGTAGCCAGGCATCGTGGCACATGCCTGTAATCCTAGCACAAGAGAAACTGAGGCAGGAGGACTGCCATGAGTTCAAGAACAGCCTGGGCTACATAGTTAAGACCCTGTCTCAAAAAAAATAATAAAAATAAAATTTAAGAAATGTATCCAATAAAAGAATTAATTTAACTTCCCCAAGGAATCCAAGCACACATTTTCACTCCCTCTCCTCTTTTTTGAGGTAGGGTCTCACTAAAACTGCTAAATTACCAAGGCAGGGCTCAAATTTTCAATCTTCCTGCCTCAGCTTCCCAGAATGCTGGGATTACAGATGTACACAATGCCTGACACATTTTCATTTTTGTTCTACTAAAATTACATTTTCACTCTTGATATAAAGTTAAAGAAAAGGTTCTTACCAAATCCCTTGTTGAAAATATCTCTGGCAGCTTTGCCAAGGTCAGCATACGACGGAGGAATGCACACTGCTGCTAAGCAGAAACAGTCCAGTGTTAACTACGCTCTTGTCTTCCCAACTTCTGTACAAAAACCCAACGCTGATCTTTAAATTCAAGCCGTCTGATTAGCTAAAATTATTGTTTTGACACCAGGGGCCACAATAAAGCTGTATTCTAATGATCCATGATGGAGATATCACCAACAAAGGTTTATCTCTAAACTAAATAACCAAGTAGTTACACGAACTTGAGAAAGTTCTTCCAAAAAAAAAAAAAAAAGACTTTCTAAAATTTAGTGTCCAGAACCTCACACTGTAGGACCAGGCTAGCACAAAAAATACACATATACATCCAAAACTGGTCGGGGCTGATCTAACTAAACAGAATAAATTCGAAACTTAAAACTAGGCCCTCTCCCCTGAAATACCCCTAGTACCCTGCGATCAAAACCTGCAGTATGAAGAAAAGGAAACTTAACGCTCTGGGAACTTAAATACTGGACCTTAGGAAAACCACAGCCATCTGCTTTTTACTCAGATGTCTACATCAACTGAATATCAAATAGCGCTTTAAACATATTGCTATGTCTCTCAAGTCCGCCGCCAATGCGCGGCGGCTTAAGGTCAAGCAATCTGAGCCCGCGCGGCGGCTCATTCATTCTGCGGCGCGCGTCACGCCCCTAGAGCGCATGCAGGGAGTGACCTTGGGCGCTCGGGCTGCTCACTACTTCCCCCAGGAGAGTGAGCGATCGGATCTAATGCTTCCCAGGCGGCACGCGGGAACTTTCCGCTTCCGACTCCGTCCAAGACCCGTCCGAAAGCTGAAGGTGCACGCAGCTGCAGACCGCCGCCCCAGGCGCGGGTCCGCCCTCCCCGAGACCAGCAACCCAGCTCCCACCGCAGCGGCGGCCGTCAGCCCGCGGGGCGGGATCCGGCGAGGCTGGGGGCGCGGGCGGGGAGCAGGCTGCCGTTTGCGGGGCCCCGGGTTTGGACCCCCCCAGGGCGCCGCCGCCCGCGCTCGCAGACGTCCGGTCTCTACTTACGCCGCGCGCAAGTCTGCCCGTAGGTCGCCATGGCGAGGTCGCTGGAGGAGGGGGCCTGCGGCGGGAACAAGAGCGGTCAGGGGGAGTCAGGGGAGGGTCACGGGGGTCTCAGGCAGACAGGGCCGAGGGGCCGGGGGCGGCGCGGCCATCTTGGGCAGCCGGGGCCACCCGAGTCCCGCTGAGGCCTCCCGCTCGGCCACCGCGGCCGACAGCCCGGGCCGGTCGTGAGACTGGCGCGACGGTACCTGGGGGTCTCCTGAGGGGCGCCGCCGCCGCCGCCGCCGCTCGGCTCACTCGGGCTCGGGCTGCGGCTGCAGCTCCTGGAGGGCGAAGTGAAGGAGACACCGTTCCGCCCGCCGCAACCCCGTCCTCCCCCAGCCAGGACCCCGCCGCGGCCCTCGGGGCTGCCCGCCGCGCCTGCGCTCACAAGGCCGCCCGCGGCCCCCTCCAACCTGCTCCGAAGAGGCCACGCGGGCCGAGGGCGCCTTCGCCCCCGAGGCGGGCCACCTCCCTGCTTCGGCAGCGGCCGGGAGAACGCAAAGCTGCGGGCCCCGAATCAGGCAGCGGCCGGGACAGCCCCAGAGGCGAAGGGGCGGGGAACGGCGGAGCGCGCGCGGGCGGGGGAGGGGCGGGGCCGCGCGCGCCGGGGGGCGGGGCGACGGCGGTGTCACGTACGCCTCTCCACCGCCCTGCGGTCGCCAGCGCTTCCGCGCGGGGTGGAGGTCCCCGCGCTGAGGCTGCGGGACACGGTGGGCGAAACCTGGCCCCGTCTGCCCTGATCTGACGTACCTGGGGTCTCCTGAGGGGCGCTGCTTCACAAACACCATCACTGTCTCCGGGCGGCCCCCAAGCCTTTCCTGCCACGCGCCCACGTGCGTGACTGTGCCCCTGGGAGCTTCGCGACGCCGGCCACACGCGGGGCCAGGACCGTGGCTGCGGCGGAGACCCAGCCTGCCCCGAGGCCAGGCTCGTGAGAGGCCTGGAGGAAAAGTAGCAACTTGTCTGATGTGCTGGAAGAATGGGCAAGCCAAGGGAAGAAGAAAAATGAGCAGTCTGATGAGCTGGAACTGGCGTCAGTTGGGGCTTCGAATCAACCGCCTACCTCAGTGATCCGTGCACGCCAGTTTCATCATCTATAAAAGGACATGGTTAAACGAGGTCTCTAACAGCCACTCAGCAGGGGAGCCCCAGACTGAGCAGAGCCTCCCCGACCCCGTGCCCTTTATCTCTAAAAGCCTCCTCTGCCCCAGTGCTGCCCAGGTCCTCCTCTTCTAAACCAGGAAAATGATAGCTGGATGGGCTTCCACAGTCCAAAACCCAAGGTAAAGTACAACCTGGTAGATTCTCCCACGGCCAAACCCAGCCAGCAGTCTTGCCTGGTCATAGCTGGGTTTATGCATGTAAAAGGTCAGAAGTGAAGTCTAAGAGATCAGGCTCTAGAAGTCCTGATTTGTTCTGTTCAAGCTCAGACAGGTCGGCCTGCAACCAGCCTGGCCTAGCGTCCCCGAGAGCTGAAATGCTCTGGCTGCTGCTATTGCAAATGTGAAGAAGCAGACCAGTGTCCCAGTCCCACCACCTGCCAGGAAAATCCAGTCCCTGCTAAATCCGTTACCTCTCCTATCTGCAGCAGGCCTTATTCACTTTGTGAATCATCTAAACAGTGTTGTTTAACCCTCAGAGAATTCTATCCTCTTCAAACCCCCCAAAAATGTAGACAGTGTTTAATGACCAAGGGAAGATCTGTGGCTAAATAAGGAATTGTAGCTGTGGAAAAGAGGTGATCCGCTTCCTGCTTATTATAAAGGCTTAGCCCGGGCGTGGTGGCACATGCCTGTAATCCCTGCACTGAGGAGGCTGAGGCAGGAGGATCGTTGGGACTTTGAGGCCAGCTTGGGCTACAAAGTGAGGTCAAGTTCAGCCTGAACTGCATAGCAAGACCCTGTCTCAAAAAGACACACACACACACAAAAAAAAAAAGACTCATAGCTGACATCCTTATACAAAAAAAGGCAATGAGGTGGGCATGGTGGCACATACTGTAATTCCAGCCCCTCCAGAGGCTGATTCAGGAGGATCACCATGAGTTCCAGGCCAGCCTAAACAACATGGCAAGACCCATTTTCAGTGGTTTTTTTTGTTTGGTATTGGGAATGAAACTCAGGACCTTGTTCTTGCCAGGCAGGCACTTGTGCTGCTGAGCTATATCCCCAACCTAAGACCTAGTGTGAAAAAATAAAAAAACGAGCCTTGAGTGGTGGCACACGTCTGTAATCCCAGCACTCAGGAGGCTCAGGCAGGAGGACTGCTGTGAGTTTGAGGCCAGCCCAGACTACATAGCGAGACACTGTCTCAAAAAACCAACAACAGAAAAAGATTGGAATAATGAGCTTTGACGATCGAAGGGGACAAAATACAGACTATAGACTGCCATTCAAAGATGGAAATGGCAAGAAAAGAGATTTTCCTCTCAGATTCTCCACAAGAGCCAGTCATCATAGTACACTCCTGTAATCCCAGCACTTGGATGCTGAGGCAGGAGGGTCACCAGCCTGGGCTAGGG